TTTATTACCAAACAAGTATAAATTGTGCACAACTCTTGTGCAGATAAAGCGCATTTTTTTAAACCGAAATAGTGTTTCTTTTGACATCACCAATGGAAATGTATCTTGCAGACGTCTCAATCGCTCTTTGTGAGTACGCTCTTCCGACAGTCTGTTCTCGCAGATTATTGAAAAAGATGGGGGTTTTATTTTTCCAATTTTCCTTCTTTATATGAAAAGAAGTGAAAACTAATACAGTTGATTGCCGTAAAAAAATTTTTCTACAAAAAACTAATACATTTTTGCTCTAAAATAATTTGGGGAGCCAATAATCGCATGTTATGAATCTTACATTGAAATCCCTATGATGCGTTATGCAAGTCACCACCCTGTATCAAAAATAGATTGCGCATGCGCAAATTCGACTTTTTTATTTGTAGACCAATTTTTCTGAAATTTTAATAGAAGATCGCGCCCAATATTTATTTCATTTTGACCCTTGGTCTACATTTGAATGCCCCAAAATGGCATTCGTTAGTGTTCATAATTTTGGTTAAAAGGTTGCTGCTGATGTAGAGGATGAAGATGGTCTTGCCGAGAGAGCGAGGCGCGCATGCGCACATGACCGGAGTTATCCATAAACTACCAAAATGAACGTTACAATTTCCCATAAAAAATACACGGAAATTTGGCAAAACGTCTATTGCGGTTTTACTAATAGGTTTTTTGCAAATTGGTTACGATAACTTTTTTAACTTGTTTTGGAATGTGTGTCTACTTTTCTTTTATAAGAATAAAGAGTTCATATTTTGAAATTTTCCACTGAAAGTTCAGAAGAATTTTTTGACACTCGGCTCGCAGTCGGAAATAGGACTTTTAACCCGTCTCATTCTTGAACTCGTAGAAATCAATTTGGCGAAGGTCTGACATCGCTGTCTCTTTTCGTTATTGGGTACACGAGAAACTGACGGATGAACAAAACCATGGCATTTTCATAATTTTTCGAAAAAAATTCCCCTAAAAACGATACTTTTTATTGTAACGAATATTCTAGAAAATCTAGAGCGACATCGGGGTGCCATCAAGTCAATAAAAAATATAATGTCTTTATTCGAGAATGATCCGTGATTTTTCTAGAAAGTTTTTGTTGGAGATATAAGCAAATTTAACTGTGTTTAAGTGGTAGTGATAATACTTGCGTTGGCGCCTTGTGTGATAAATATAATAAGTTTAAGTACAAGTAAGTGATGATAATGATTATCCATTATAAAATCCATCTATTTAAGATTATAAATTCATTAATAATTAATTGTAGGTAAAGAAATGATGTAATCAAATTTAAGTTGGAACGCTCACAATTAATTATTACTAATTTAACCTTGTAATCATTTTTCTCGCACTACCGTTTCAGAGTGACTCTAATCACCCTCTACTGGTATCTCAAAAACTCTACAGATATTTAAAGAGCTCCTGGTGGAAAGCATTAGAAAACTCGAAAATGAAGACCTTTTAAACTCTTATCAGAAAACTACAGGAAATTTTCCGACCATTCAATACTTTACAGAGCAATCAAACACGTTTCGGAACATTTTAGGTTTCTAAAGCAACCTACTCCCCTGATTTTTCATCATATTTCCGAGACGTCTTTCGGTTCAAGGAACGGCAGATGGACAGACAAAACGCTCCAGTTAATCGCGCGAGTGCAGAGGATATACCACTTGGTCGTTAAGTCTCCTGTACTAAAGCAAACCCCATCAAATTATTCTCCAACCAAAATTTTTTTGGGAAAATGTTTTGAATTTTCAATAACAAGAAAGGTCATAGTTTGGTCATCACTAGGACTCATAGAAGCTGAGAAATTCGGCAAATAGTTTGGATGCAAACGATGTTACATTGTGGATTCTGCAGAACCCCTCTTATCATCGAGACCTTGATTTGAGTCTATGGGATCTATTGGGAAAAAAACCCTCCATGAGTTGCGTGGCCTTGCTACTTCAGAAATTGAAAACTTCCCTTTTTGGGAATTAGTTTCAAAGTGGAATAAGAGGCATAAAATACGCGATAAAGCTTTTCGATTTTAATTTATAAGTTATAACATAGTATACTGGCATCTCCCATCCCATAGTGCCTCAAATAAGAACAAGATGTATTCCACTGTTTCTGCTTCATCCACACAGTATACAGGGAGATTCACGTTAGAAGTTTTTAAACTAGCAGTTGAAATAGAAACTTAAAAATTTGGTTGACAGCCATTATCGACCATTGCGAATTGAAATAAAATAATTTCAAGATGGCGCCGCTTCCGTAAATACCGGTTTTGGTTTTTTAAAATAGAAACAAACCATTTTCAATTTCTTCTAAATGCTCTATTTTATTTTGAATTCAAACGCAATTCAAATTTAAGTACCTATGTCATAGTTTTTGACATATCCCGCCCTAAACCGCCCAAGATAAGGGAGTGATCTTTTCCATAATCGAATCTTTACAGTCTAAGGAATTTTTTTGGTAACCGCCGAAAGTTCTGAAAAATTTTCCAGGGCTGCTGCGATTTTTTAAAGTTAGCAATCAAAAAATGTCAAAATCTTCAATTTTTCAAATTGCAACTACTATTTCTGACGCTAGGCAATGATGCATATTGAAAATTGGATGAATTAATTTGAACACTAAGATAAAACTGTTTGACATTTGATTCGAAATACATACCAAATAAAAGCTTTCAAAGTCTACTACACCTAATAAAAAATAAGTGTCCCTCAAATTTAAATCTACATTATTTCTGGCATTAGAAATTGCGATTTGAAAAGCTGAAGTTTTTGACATTTTTTATTGAAACCTTTGAAAAATGGCAGCAGCCCTGGTAGCCTTTTCAGGGAACTCAAAAGGCCACTAAAAAAATCCATTAGACTTTAGGATTTGGTTATAAAAAAGAGCACGCATTCGTGTTGAACGGTTTAAAAGATACGAATTTTTGAATGGACCCTTGATCTTTAAATTTTTAGAGTAAAATTGACACATGTGAAAAACTATAACAGATGGATACTTAAATCTTAATTGTGTTGAATTCAGAACAAAATAGAATATTTAGAAAAAAAATATAGAAAATTTCTATTAAAAACAAAGACACTTCCGGTATTTACGAAAGCGACTCCATCTTGAAATTATTTTATTTCAATTCGCAATGGTCGAGATTATGGCTGTCAACCAAATTTTTAGGTTTCTATTTCAACTGCTAGTTTAAAAACTTCTAACGAACGGCCTACAGAAATCATCCTGTATACCTACAATACAATGAGCCAGGAGAGAACACGTGTCTGCACATCAATTCTTTGTAAGCGAATGCAATTTGCACAGCACAACCTGAGGAGTCTACAAATAGTCATGACAAATTCATTTATTTACGTCACTCCAGAGTAATCGTAATGCGGTCAATAGACCGGATCGAGTCAGCTAAATTAGAATCCAAGTCTTGTATCTCATTTAGTTAAGTACTCAGTTTCTAAGAATAAGAAGCAGAATACATTAGACATAGCACCACAAGCAGATCCCTACCTGGCGGTCAATAACACTTACATTAGAGACGTACCAACCAAACGGGTATGGGTTTGGGCTATACTACTTCAAATTGCTTCCTGTGATTAGTCAATATGATTAGGTTACACTGAGCCACTGTAGATTAGGTTAGTGCACAACACACTCTTCTTTTAAATCTGAATCAATTGATTTTTAATTAATAAATTCATCACTTACTTATAGATTTTTCGATTAGACTACTCCATTATACAGACAGAAGATATAGGAAATAAATTCTAGCACACCCGACTTGGAAACCATACAAAAATGAATGAAAGTGTTTTGTCAGCACATGCATTTGTTTAAAACCTTTTTTTTTTGCGATCTGATGTAATATATCAACAGACCAAGGCCATAGGCAAACCATAGTACTACCTCACAAATTTCGTAGATTTTTCAGATGTTTCCATAGGTCTATTTTCAGAGTGTTGGCACTCTCATAACATAAAACATTCATAACAAACGCTATACTAATAATATTAATAATTAGCAATTTAAATTGCTAATTATTAATGAATTTGGGGAAGTATAATGTAAAATCTTCCAAGATTTTCGAATTAATTAAATTGTACCACCCACCACAGTAAACAAATTTTAAAGATTGTTCCACCTTCATTAATCAGAATGGGAAACATGGAAACCCAAAACAATTGTCACTGTGACTCAATTAACAAAGTGTAGACTTTTTGCGTCATGAATTCAAAAAAAGAAACCAACAAACCTTACTTTAGTAGTTTCTTTAATTACAGTATTTATTGTTTCCTATTTTTCTTTTCCATTTCTAGTCCATGACTTACCATTACCTTTTTTTTCGAATTTTTTTAATCCACAAGTCCGTCTCCCTGGATTTTGTTTTACAGTTTTTAAGCGGCAGAGCAAAGCAATGCAAGCTTTATAGGGGGGTCGATGGGGTCCGTCTGTCCGTGAACACGATAGCTGGCAAATGCTTGCACCGATTCAAACTTTGCATAGTTGACCTATATGCCACATCTAACAAGCCTATTGAAAATGGGTCAAATCCAATGACCCCCGTAGGGTCAAACCGAGAAGCTCTGCCGATTTTTTAGATCCGCTTTAGGGGTTTATTAAATCATTCACGGCATTCCAATGATACAGGATTTGATGGAAGATAGAATGTTTGAATAAATTTTGATTTATTTGGGCCTATGTTGAGAACAAGTCAGGATTCCACTACCATGGCATAATTAAGTGCGGAATACCCTCTAAGAATCTTGTAGAAGCGAGCGTCCTTATTGTTATTTTTGAAAAAAAGTAGATGTTAGTGGCGCCCTCGTTTCAACGATTTCATTCTCCTGCTAAGTCTGCAACTGTGAAATTTTCTCCATTCTTAGTGGATATATGTACATCTGTCTTTTTTTCTTTCTGTTGCATGGGCTTTCATAAATTTCTTCTCGATTTTTGTGAAAAAAATACCTTACCCCTAGTTGTTCATCCACATCAATATCATTCCATTTCCGTGCATGTTGCAATTACATTACCAATGCCAACTGTATTACAATATTTAATTATTACAGCTCTTCCTGTCGGTAGATGGTATGAATTGAAGTCATTACTTGAAGAGCAAAGTTACAACCAATCAAAAATTAATTGCATCCAGAACATGATTAATTGTGCTGTTCCACTTCACGATTTCATAGTTCAAGGCATAAAAATATACAAAAGCACTAATTTTCGAAAATGTTACTCGAGTTGGCAGAGAATTCAATATTTGAACCATAGTCTTGACAATGAACCACTGAAAAACTGTTTTGATTCACATTTCGTTCCCGACTAACGATTAATAAAGTGTTTACAGGTAAAAATGTTCTCGCACTATGACAGGTGTTCAGAAAATGAAGGTGAAATAACCTCAGGATTACGTCCATTAATATTAAGTTTAATAGCAAACAATAGAAAATCGTTATAGTGTCCCTAATGAATAAAAAATGTGAATTTTAAAAGAGGTTCATTGATTTTTTTTCCCAATAGCAACAAAGCTCAAAAATTGGAAGTGTTCATTTATAAGTAAATTTGTAATAATTGGAAATATAAATTTATGCATACCTTAGATCCTCGTTCGTTAAAAATAATTTCTACGTCAAGTATAGGACCGAATTGCTGAAAAATGGGCGAGTTTTACTCATGTGCGCGCAATCGACGGGGATACTTACTCCAAACATTGCTCTTAAATCTGGGTCTCTAAACCTGAAGGGAATGTTGGATACATGCAGTCGCTTTGGTTGATTTTTCGCGGGATCTGTGACTGTGGTTGTGCCTACGGGTGTAGCTTCGGGCGTTCCTACTGTAGCCGGTGGTACGATCGCTCCTTCGACTACCTCTACTTTTGTAAGCGGCTGAGATTGTTCGCATGGAAAGGACGAGGCGGCCGCACCTCTTGCAGGACTACTAACTATTGCTACTGGTGGTGGTTGCTCACTTCCGGATGGTTGTGGCGGTGGCGGACTGAAGGGTGGACCCGTCGTTGCCGCTGTGGGAGGTGGTAATAAAGGAACTTCTTTAACCTCCGTTTTGACTTCCCCGTTCTGGGTAGGAAAACCGGCGGGAGCCGCCGCTCCGAACGGCGTGCTCATACCTGTCTGCACCATGTGCTGTAACCAAATAAGTATTTAATCAGTGAGCGTGCAAAACACTATAAGACCATTACTACACCAATTTATGTAACATATTTGCTATTCGCATGACATGATCTAGCGCATATGTTAATTGGAGAGTAACTGAATTTAAATACAATAATTGCGTAATTTTATGTACGACAAATTGCTTGCAGAAATAGAGAAATCAATCTGTCCCAGAAAATATCAATAACAAAAGCAGAGCGATGGTGAAAATTACAATAATCCCATTTGCATGTAAATTGGCCAACGGTACAGCGCTTAAAACGATTATCTACTTTAAGTAAAACAAAAAGTACTTAACAATATGATGGTATTAATACCTTCCCCGACATTAAATATGCAATGTTCCAAATATGCAAATAACACCTTTTTGAGAGTGCATAATTAATTCCTATTCAGAAACGCTTTCAGCATCTGAGATTTTGTTTCATTTAAGAAACAATGAAATTTATGTTGGGTTAACAAGGAAATTATACAGTGAGATTGATTTTGCGTGTCCAAGCGTATAGTTCTTTTATTATTGGAGATAGAAAAAAAGTGCAAAAACAAAAATACTCTACTTTCAAATTCTGATAAAACTACATATTCAAAAAAAACAGATGATATAACAACAAAAGAGCATCAGAAAACAAAATAATTTTTTTAGTAGAACGGTTACTTTTTTCTGCAATATTCAACGAGCTTGAAATTCTCTTTACAATGATACTAAATAGGTTATAATTACTCTAGCAATTAAAGCTACAGTAATGTATTTAAGACCGATTGCAGTAACTGTGAAAATTTAAACAAAAGCAAACTTGAGTTTTTCACTTATCATGTTAGTGTTAGTGAACTTATAAGATCCACAATGCAACAAAATAATAATTACACAAATGATGAAAAAAATGTTACGAGTTTCTATTTGATGCAATGTATTTAAAATTGTCTTAAGTTATAATAGTTTATTTTCTTGGCTTCCTGTTGTAAATTTTATGTTTTTATTTAAATTTCCACAGCTACTGCGATTGGTTCTAAACATATTACTGTAGCTTTAATTTCTAATTATAACATATGTGATATCATTCTAAAGAAAATTTCAAGCTCTTTAAGAATAGTACAGAAAGTAACCGTTCTATTTAAATAGTATATTAAGATACAAGTGTATAATCAAGTCTTTAAAGCACGCGCAACGAGTTTAAGGGCACGACGCAAAGCGGAGTGCCTTTAACGTTGCAAGTGCTTTAAAGACCAATTATACACGTGTATCTTATAGTATTTTTTATTATACCTGCAGTATAATTTAAAAATAGGAAATTCAATGAAATCATATTGACGTTATACTCGAATACATGTCTAATTAAGTGGGCTGGGTGTTCGTAATTTCACGATTGCCATGGAAATGTCACTTGACGTTTGCTTATAAAAATTGTTGTCTTTGTGAATAAAACGATTTCCGTTGAAACAGATAATACACCGTCCATTAAATCGCTTGGTGTAAAATCTAAACAAACGTTGGTAGGTGTAAAATCTCAATCCAGTAAAGCCTATTATCAAGCATATGAAAAGTTGTTTCCATGGATGAATAGGAAGTTACTTACGAATAAAGTCTTAAATGCATCGATAATGCTGGCATATATGAAGGAAATGTCAAAGGTATTTAAATCTTCTATCTTTTGGTGCATTTATTCAAAACTTCACTTATTGCTGGGACTAAAAAGTGAAACAGATTTGGAAGCATACCCTAAATTACGCGCATTTGTAAAAGCTTCAACCAAAGGATAGGTACAAGCCAAAGAAATGTTCTGCATTTACAGAAAGCGACTTAGGAAGATTTTTTATTTCACCCAGATGACAGTTTCAAAAGTCATACTTGAAGTGTCGTTACTTAGCAACTTTAAAGCACGTGTGTTTTAAAGGCCTTTTTTCGCACGCATTTGAGTGTTTTAAACGGAGATTGTGATTCAGGTATAATAAAAAAAATGTATTTGTTTTCCGATGCTCTTTTGTTTTAATATCACTTGTTTTTTCAAATAATGTAGCATTATCAGTCATTGAAAGTACAGTGCAATCTTGATAATCCGGCCGTTCGTTAGTCCGGCACGTTCGGTAAACCGGGGTCTCTGGAGCAACTAGAAATACCATTTTTGATAAAATATATATAGCAAAGAAACAAACAAAATAATCATTACTTTTTCTAGTGTGTAAAATTACGTATTTGTGTATATTTTGTATTTTGTTTGTATAAATTGTAACCATTTTTTTCTATTACTCTCGATAATCCGGATTATTTGATCATCCGGCGGTTGCGTGGTCCCATACGTGTCGGATTATCAAGATTCTACTGCAGAGTATTTTTGCTTCTTACAATTTTTTTTCCTATCTCCAATAATAAAATAAATATACGCTTGGACACGCAAAATCAATCACACTGTATAAGTTATTCCAAAATTCGTAGTGGAGAGAATCGCCATAATTGACACCGATAACAGTACTCGAAACATCTATACAGTGCGCTATTTATTAAGAAGTAGACATAGGGATTTACATGCATTGTATCTCCTTATGTCTACTTTTAAATGACAAAAACTCTTCTGAAGGACGCCTAATTTTATGCAACCAAAATAACTTCTTAAAACAAATAAACGTGTGACTGAATGACTACGGGTCTTTGCTGACAATGCCGCCCAAACAGTGACTGAAGAATGCAAAGGTATTTGGTGTTTTAATTTAAGGTTTTGTCTAATCCCGAATCAATTTTGTTTGTTGACATGGCCCACTTAAATAGAAATAGGCTTGATCCGAGTAGAAAATCTTATTGAAGCTGCCAAACCGCTCGAACATAGTATCAACAACGGTTTGTCTTCAAATTAAATTGTTTTCTTTTAATTCTTGCACCCTGCATCTTGACGATGAGTAAAATGATACTGTTCTCACTATTGCTCAAGGAATATATTTCAAATTGTATGCTTTAAGCCTACAACTGGGCCAAAAACCGGCGGAAATGGGTCATATACCTACTGTGTCATTTTTTTAAATTATCGACCGCCTGCGTGCGGGGTATTATGTCCCCAAAAACTTTGTAAGCTTTTCTTTCTTTCAGGGATTTTGTTCTAATTGTTTCATGTGTTCCCGAATTTGTTGTTATTGTCAATCAATTAATTGTGTTTTTATTCGAATCCTTCGAATTTTTATTCTATAGGTGTCCAAGATTTATTTCATGTGTTGATCAAAATTTGTGTAATACATTTTTTTTGGAAACTTCGGTAGTTAATCGAGGTCACCGAGTTTCTCAAATTGAAAAAAAATGTAAGTCAATATTTGAATTTTTCTTCTAGCAGATGCAGGATGTGTACGAGGAGAGATTTAGTCCAGTCAGTATGGAGGTTGGAACTTGAAAAAAATGTTGGTAAATGGTAAATGTGGTATGTTGTTCGATGCGATGAGTACTACTGCGACCTATCAGGAGGCCCAAAAAACTGGAAATGTTCGGACTTTTTTTTTATATTTTAGCTTAGTTATATATTCGACACAAAATTCGAAGTTGGGCACATTCTAAAATTGAAAAAAAAGGGGTTAAAAATCTCTCATTGTATTCTAATTAAAGGTCTCAACGAAAGAAACAGTTTTCTACAAACTACTGCCCTTCTTTCTGTCCTCTTATCAAAGGTGGGTGGAACTAGTTTTATCCTTCATGGTACTCTAATGAAAGGTCTCAACGAAAGGAATTAATTTATACTAACCATAGTCTTCCTTCTCGATCCCTTGTCGTGATCAGTTATAATTCCTTATATCGTAACAGTGAATTGTCAAAGGAAAGTACCTACAAAGGGCGATTTAACGCCAGTTTCAAAATTTCGGAGAGATTTAAATGAAATTTGATACATAGCCACTTGGAATAAATGCAAATCAAACGCCAGTTTCAAAACTTGGTTTTGCGCATGCGCAGTGCCAACTTTCTTATATATGGTGGGATTTAAATGAAATTTGATACATAGCAACTTGGAATAAAACCAAATTTAACGCCAGTTTCAAAATTTCGGTTTGCGCATGCGCAATTCCAACTGTCTTATTTATGGAGGGATTTAAATGAAATTTCATACATAGTCACTTGGAATAAAAGCAAATGTAGCGCCATTTTCCTAATTTGGTTTTGCGCATGCGCAGTGCCAACTTTCTTATTTATGGAGGGATTTAAATGAAATTGATACATAGCAATTTGGAATAAAACCAAATTTAACGCCAGGATCAAAATTTGGTTTTGCGCATGCGCAGTGCCAACTTTCTTATTTATGGAGGCATTCAAATGAAATTTGATACATAGCCACTTGGAATAAAAGAAAATGTAGCGCCATTTTCCAAATTTGGTTTTGTGTAGGATGTGCAGTGCCAACTTTCTTATTTATGGAAGAAATTTCGTAGGGGTGTTTAAAAAAAATGCGCTTTGCCTGCACAAGGGTTGTGCACAATTTGTATTTGTTGATTTTAATTTTGTTTTTTCTATTAAATTGTTTTATCAATTCACTGATTGTATTACTATTAAATACGCAGATGATATAAACCGCTAATTGTCTATTTTTAAACAAATTTTTTCACAGGTCCGTAATAGAAATTTTCGTAATTAAGCCCGAAAAAACGCTAAACTGCAATTAAACCATAACATCATTGATATCGAAATATCAGGGGTGTATTTAAAAAAAAGAAGTTGATGATGGTTCCGCAAAAACGAAACGTCGAATTAAAATATTAACAGAACAAAAAATAGTTCGTAAAATCGAAAACACCGATTTTTTCAAAATATTTTAAAAACCAAAACAATTATTAGGGATTTCTAAAGGCTATTTTCTTACACCTTGCAATCTTTCTCCCATTTAACCAAGTATCTGTTACCCTTTCATTAATGCCCATAGTGACCCTCCTTTTCTCGGACACAGTGTATTTTGGAAACGACTTTGAGCGCTGATAAGTCACCTAATATGAAGCACTAAAAAGTACGA